CGATCAAGTATATATTTTTAGCCAAAGACTAGACTTGATATATGAAAAGAAGAAGTCGTGAACAACGTACACAAAGGGTTTTTGGCCAAAGTATTTTTTGTGCTATCCCATAACCAGCGATCCCTTTTGTGACTTCTTCTGATCATTGATATTATGATGGATGGCTCAATCTCTGTTTCATTCGATTTACGGCTTTAGAATTTGCATAACAACTATTATTTGATCTATTGTCAATTCCAAACTAATTATTGTTTAATATCAGTTTCTGTTGTTTTACTTTACTGTTTATTTAGAGGTAGTGAGGTGCGGTATGGTGAGACGTAGGTTTTATAAAAACATTTTCTGATCATGCCAACGTTTCGACCTTTAATGAGATCATCTTCAGGGCCTGGGATTTATAAACATTGTTTTGAATTTTACTTTAAAAAAAACTACTTTGATGGAATCTAAAATGTTCTAGCATTGTATAATTTCATTTTTTTATCTAAAATTTTCTAGCATTGTATAAATTCATCCTTTTTTATCTAAAATTTTTCGGCATTGTAAAAATTCATTTTTTTATTTAAAATTTTCTAGCATTGCATAAATTCATCCTTTTTTAATCTAAAATTTTCTAGTATTGTATAAAAAAGGATGAATTTATACAATACTAGAAAATTTTATATAAAAAATGAAATTATACAATGCTAGAAAATTTTAGATTCCATCAAAGTAGTTTTTTCTTTCCACATCCTACATGTATTTGTACAATTCAAACAATGTTTATAAATCCCAGGCTAGGCCCTGAAGACGATCTCACTAAAGGTCGAAACGTAGGCATGATAAAGAAAATTATTCAGAAATCGTGAGATGCGGTCTGGTGTGATGTAGGTTTCAGAAAAACATTTTCTTTATCGTGCCAACGTTTCGATCTTTATTGAGATTATCTTCAGGGACCTTTTTTTCTGAAACCTACATGACACCAGACCGCATCTCACGATTTCTGAATAATTATCGATTAACGGTCACTAATCACCACACAAATAAAGAAAATGTTTTTCTACAGCCTACGTCACACAAGACCGCACCTCACGATCTCCAAATAATCATTAGCCAACTGTCACTAAACACCACACATTTTTACATACTGTATTTTGATACTAAAAAGTTTCTATATAGCAATATCGTGGGAAATACTGATAAAACAGTGCGAACAAAAATGTTCTTACTGCAAATCAAATCATGCACAAATCCACTCTCGAACTACCAAACCAAAGATGACTGAAATGATCGCCATTACGATCAGGGCCTAAACCGTTTCAATTCAACTGTAGCATCAGCCTATTACCATTATTAAGAGTTCGTAAAAAATAAATGGAAAGGCAAAACAAAAACGGAAATAATAATTTTGGGGTAGAGACCAAAATAGGATTTTAAACTTATCGCGATCCATTCTGATTGTGTCAACAGGTTAGTATTGTTTTTGTCTCCTGTTCAATTGTTTAGGCATCAATATTCTCTTTCACATATACCCAATTAGTAATGTCAAAGCATCTCGCCTCATAGTGAATGTCACTTTAATTGATTAGGCCTAGTGGACAGTACAACATCGTTCTCTAGTCGTGAATATAACGAAATGTCAAAGAGGAGTATCGAGTATCAAAAGCATTTTGAACATCAGCCTGGAAAGCTGTCCATCGGACAGTATGACGACTGATTTCTGTCATTCTGATCATCATATCAATCACCATTCTCATTCCTCTTGATTCAATAACGTTTACTTAATTGACTTTTCCGTATATATAATTTAGAATTTTAGACGTGCGTGATTGTTTTTCTTGTGAAAATCTGCATTTCTTCTGTATAGAAGGCGCAGATTTTGGATTTTTATGAAGTTTCTTTGATTACTGGAAACTATCTGTGGTCATTATAACAGTTGATAAAAGTTAAATAAATACTTGATCATTTTTATTTTACATGTCAAAAGCAACTCCATTGGTGTTATTTGATACTATCGAAAGGAAACAATATTATTCTCAAATAAATTTAAAATTTTGAAAAACGTACATTTAGCTAGGATGTTAGGGTCATCAAGGTTTTCCCATGTTATAATTAGTTTACTATCTCGATCTAAATATTAATGCTAGTTTCATTTGTGGTTGGGACCGTGAGGCGCTGGCCCGCAGCTTTGGGCTTAGATGTAGTAAGTGCTTTTCGACGGACCTAAAAAGCTCTTCACCGGGTTCTCCTTCACTAACTAAATAAGGGCAACTTTTACTTGAAGAACTTTTCACTTCGTTCTATACGTGAGGTAGGTACCGAAAACTCTACAAACACCCCTTCCCCTGCCTACAACTGTTGTGTTTATTTCTTGTATTTTTGTTTTCAGGAAATCTGTAGTGTTAGCTTTATCGGAAGGGGGTTGAATTGAATTTTTCTATCGCTGGAAAAATCCAATTATTAACAATAATCTTTTTATATATGTCTTGTTTGTTTACTGCACTTTATTTTGACTCGTATCAGTTTAAGATGCAGAATTGGTGAACGTAATCAAACTTGCAAGAAAAAGAATTTCAATATTTCAATTTACATAACAAAAGAATGGCCCTTATTGAAAGCACAGGGGACTTTGCCCACATATACAGTACTGGTATTATTTATACAATATCGCTACTAAATTAATTATTAATTTATTTTTATTATATTTCAAATGCGATTCTTCTCACACGTATAGTGTACCTTGTTAATTTTCATTAAACGAACCTGTTTTGTAAGATTAAGTGAGTAACTGATATAATTTCGACTAACGAGAACTGAGTGAACCAAGTTTGAAACTAAATTTTAACTAATGAAATAATCACTCCGAGTTTCACCGGTTTATGAACTTTGATCATTACTGACTATTTCTGGGCTCGCGTAATCTCGCTGTTTCCTCTCTATAGCTGATTAAAATGTCAACATTGAAGTGCCGTGAAGCCGGGTAGAAAGATAAACCTACTGTATTACAGAATACATCGGATCACTAGGGCATGTTAAGTGAGATTTTGGTGGTTGTTTGGAAAAATTTTAAAAATAATTTCGTTTGCCTTACAACTGCAACTGGTAGAAGTTTGTTCTTGGATGGTTTTTGATTCAAGATGATACAGTTAGATAAAACATGTAAGTTTTGACGTTTGTCAATTTTTCAATATGAGCAAATGTTTGAAATTCTGTTTTTGTTATTATCTGCTGGAAATTTCAGTTATGTTGGGTATACCTGGGTTTTGTTGTCACTGGTTAAGCTATTTCTTAACACCCATTGCCCACGTATTTTTCTCTTTTTTTTTATAAATTAACTTTTCTGTGTTCATTTCCGCTTGTCCTCGCTTTGTTTGTCCAATGTGTCAGAATAAAAAACTAGAAGCGTTTACCTTTCTAAAAAAAATATTAAATCAATAAACGTTTGCGCCTGTTCAGTCTGTCTAACCTTGAATGGGATTTTCTCAGAAAGGAAAACTTTGGGTAGAAGAGTCGTCAGAGTTCGAAAAATGTCTCTATTAAAGGCGAAGAGTGGAGACGCAAAATTGGCAAAGTTAAATTAGGAGCAATATAATTCACGGGTGTTTGCTGGTGGGGCGTTCTGCCGGGGGAGTGGATCGGGGTGAATTCTCTTTTTTTCTTCGCTCACATCGCCGACGCCAGCCCTCTCGGCAAATCGGAAAACGGAGTCGAATAATAAAACGGACGAGTCTTTCAGCAACAGATAAGAAGCAGATAGAGAAAAAGATATCGGGGTTGGGAAACGAGTCTAAAACCAAGAGGGTAAATTAATAACTCATCTCGGGCTAATTGAAGTTTTCACTAATAACCCGACCATTTCGCGCTGGGCAACAGAGTCGGAAGTTTATGAAGCTCGTTACAGCGGTCCCAGGTGGCACGGAGTTTCTCCTCGACTTTTAACAAACAGGTCGAACTGCTGATTTGAGCAAACTCCATGAATGACTTCTCAAAACTGTATGACTTGTTGTGAAGTGAAAAAAGTCAAAACCGTCCCGGAGGAGTGAGAATTTATCAACTTTCCCGTGAAAAGCTGATTTTACAGCCTCCTTCAACGTAAAAGTTACCAAATTAAATCACCCACACCTTTTTCAAATAATTTTTTACTTGAAACAAGGATAAAAAGTAAACACGCTTTCAAACATGGTACACAAAATCTTTTTTTTTTTTTTTGTATACTTTTAATTTCCGGTTTATACGTACGTTTTAAAACATAACTCGTTTTACGACAGACCATGTGAATTATCTACAACTAAAAAATTATTTCTTGAAAATGATAGAATAATTTTGGATTTCAAATCGAGGTTATCTTAATATTTTACCTAACCTTGAACATTTTAGCGTCTTACTTTAACGTCTAGATAAATAACTAAAGCTTGAAAGTTCTTGTTAATCATCTATATTAGCTATTGTTAATAGAGCATTGCTTTTTGGAGACAGTAGTAAATTTTTAATTTGTGCTCGGAAAAATAGAAAACAAACACTCACAGATAGTCTAGTTAATTTTCACTCGCGAGAAGTGAACGTTAAAAATCGTCTTCATTAAAACTGGGACTTCTAAAAATCCTACTTTCTCTTGTTTGTCTTTCCACAAATTTTCACTTCGTACAACTTTAATACAAATTGAAAAAATTAATAAATTTTTAGAATAGAAAAAAATTTAGAATATAAATATCTATATATTTTTTTCTTTTTTTATTATATAAAATATTTTCTTTTTTTCCATATAATCTATAAATAAAATAATTAATAAAAATTAATTAGCGAATGAAAGATGGAAGTTTCTTTGGTATACAAGATATTTATAATCAATTCATGATAGCATTATTGCACAAATGTGATTTTTGAAAACTCTATAATGCAATGGGAAAAAATTACTTGGGAGACCATTCTACTTGTTTAATTTTGTTTAACCTATACATTTTACATTGGACATTTCTGTATGGCAACAATTTTAATGTAAAGTTGTTATTTTTTGTTTTCAGCGAGCGGGCAACAACAGTACTTCAGGATACAACCTAAGGACGTCAAAGTTCACGAAGGCGGAGAAGTCACGCTTCAGTGCGAGGTGGCTCATCTCGCTGGTAGAGTACAGTGGACGAAAGATGGATACGCCCTAGGTAACAATAAACAAAATAAAAATATTTAGTCATAAATTTAAAATATACATACTTTAAAATAATAATTGTAATCTAGTAAATTTTAATAATGAAATTTCACAAATCATAACATCTCAGCGATGATCATATTTATCAAATTGGACGCGAATAATAATTAACATTCGTACAAAAACGTTAAGTACAAACTGTAACCGTATGTTTTCGGACACGGCGGATTTTGAGCCCCTCCCTCATCTTTTTTACTTGACTGTTACACTAATCAACCAGATTAATTTTAGCCGCAGGTGAATCTGGGGAGAGTAATATCGCTTTGCACAGCCATTTGGCCACCGTGGCTTTTCCCCATGTTCCTACCTGCAAATTGATGTTAGTAATTATGTAGTTTCCAGTTTAATCTTGAATCGAGTGATCCCGAGGGCAAGAAAGTTAATCTGTTTTCATGAAATATGAATTGCTCCCGATATAGGTTTTAAATGAGGTTAATTAAATCAGAAATGCCTATTTCTAATATGAAGATACATTTTTTTTATAATAGTGTAAATATAAGAGAACTTTCAGCAACAATTCGTAGCGGGTGATCAATAGTTGCATTTCACAATTAAAATAATACTTTATTGATATTTTTTCTTTCGCGCATCATTGGTTCTGACTCTCTTATATTCGACTCCTATTTTCTTAACTTGGTAACATCTCGAATTACTAACAAAAGAATAAGAAAACATAAAGATTTCAAGCATCTCACATCCCCCGGAAACACCGCTAGTGATGGGAGTCCTGCCCCCTGGATGAACACTCGGACAGTACTTGTCACCCCTCGAAATCACGCAGCGATAGATAGCCGGAAGTGCACGGATTCATTGTATCGATAACTTTTCACCACCTATATAAAAAAAGAAAAAAATAAGTCTGGTGACATACATTCCCCCAGAGTACTCGATATTCCTCAGGGCAGGCTTGTATCTTCCGTTCTCGCTAATAAATTACTTTCACTAACCAGAAAACGCACTCCCACCCCAGAGTATTTTATATTCCTAGGGATAAAAACACTTAATTTATTAATCTAAAAACTCTTACAGATCTGAGGTACGTAACAACGATCCGCGCCCTCTGCCGTGCCGTATTGCCACGCACAGGCCAGCAGGAACTCTGTAGCTCATCCTGCATGCTTCTAGTTTATTACATTTGCGTTTCGATATATAATGGGCACCGACGCGGTCTCTTTTCCGCGAGGAAGTGCCCACGCGAATGCCTAGTTATGACCTTTGCGGAACTTGTTAAACATACCCCTTTCCCTTTTCGATCTCGATCAACACGTATTGAAAGTAAAAAAAAAATCTTTCTTTTTCATGGTACCAAACTCCATTATTAGGTTGAAAATATTTCAAACTACCAGCATTACTTCTTTTATGATAAAAACGTTCATAGCATAAAAATATATAATATAAAAATAACAAATTCATTATTAAAACCAAATAATATGTTCAAAACGCATAAATATATAAATACATAAAAATAAACATAATGTATTGGGTAATTTTTTAATATTAAATTTTATCAAATTATGGACATCGGTACATACTAAAAAATTCATTTCATTATCTTTCGCGGACAAAAACATTTCTGGAATATGAGCTCGTTAACGGTTGTGTTCATTCTCATGTGGATATGGCGGTAACATTTCAAATCCGCCGTCCAAAAACATATACATAATTCAATGTTTCTCCGTGAAGCGGAGGAATTATGCGGAAACGAAGCACGTTCGGTTTCGCTCTCCTGGAAGGAAGAAAATGAAAGCACGACAAGAAAAAAAGCGCATTTTCTCCATAGCAAGGCGCTTGAATAGATTACAATCACACAAGGCGGATAGGTCGTGCGGGTTTAACATAGCTAAGCACCGTATTAGTGATTACTCCGAATGTTTTATGTAAGCCACGGAACTTCATCAATAGGAAAACTCGACCCAAGTATTATTTTTCATGCTTTGTGAGTACATATTATTTCCTTGTTTGTTGTTGGAACTTATCGCTGCTTGTTCCATTTTTAAATTTTTGTTTGTTTTAATTTTCTCTTGCGCGGGTGGGTTCACTGGTTGAGTCAATTAAATTGAGCACTTAAAGAGATCCGATTTATTTGAGGCCCTTCAAAAAGACTTAAAAAATCGACGACTCCTCTCAACCCTTTTTCTTTCCACCCTCTTGTGTAAATATTTATATTCCAAGAGTTCTTCAGAATAAAAAAAAGGTACGGAAAAGGGTTGAACTTTTGGTTTAAGAATGGAGAAAGAAAGACAGATAAAGTAGAAGTGAATAGTAAAATTGGTTTTTCGTCTAGTAATTTACTCGAAAGGTTCAGCTCAGTTTTCGTTCAAATCCACTTTAACGATATAGCTCTCTCAATTATTTTGATGAATTATATTCTTTAGAAACTGCTATAAGTTTAATTAAGTTATTAGTCTTAAATTGATTATAATTGTGAAAATTGAGGTCGAAGATTGCTCAATTTGTCGTGAAGAATTTCACAGTCGCTAAAGGAATTATCTCGAGGCACGGGGCATCATCTATCAAAAGCGGCACGGACGGTTGATTTGTAAAGTGCTACCAATCATAGAACCTCTAAGGCTTTATTTATCAAGATTATAAGACAAGGTGAAGATGAACTAATTTTTGTTTTAAGGCCTTATTTTCCCGGGGGATTTTGGTATTAATATTTTTTCTTATTAATATTTATACAATAAGGCCCCACTCCTGTGCGTGCAATTGAAACGAAATATTTAATTTAACCTATATTTTCCTCTTTTTTCCAACTGCTCTTCTTTATTTTGTTTTCAAAAGCATTTCATTTCGTTTTATTATATGGAAGTGAAGCCTGTCAAAATGCAAAAATCCGAGTGAAGATCACTTTCAAACAGATCATTTAATTCCACTCCACTCTGAAATTCCATTCGGACAGATTCCTAACATCAAATCCGTTTTCCACGTCGACGAATCATGGGGAAAGGCCATTGTGTAAAATACAATGTTCTATTAGAAGAATGAATTGCCGAAGACAAGGGACATCTACGATATGATGCGTGGACAATGTTAAATATTTTCTATTGACTAGTTTAGATCCTTTGTGTGTTGATGATTCCTATAACAAAAATTGCATTGCTTGGAAACGGCAAATGGTCATATTCGCTTACACTTTAAAGCCGGGAACACACCCGATGCGACGCTACCCGACGCCTTGCTGCCACGTTTTGTTAGGGTGTGCACATCTATACGATGAACCTTGTTACACATTGTTAGTTAAATTTTATTAGCACAACCTTGTAATAAATTGTTTGTTAAACTTAATTGTCTTAAATAAAGTTATTCCGGTGTTTTGATAAATTTTCTGCCTAACCATCATAATCAAATAATTTTTTAAAAACTTATGAATTTTTGATCTCGTTTAATTTGGTTTACATTAAAATAGAAATGTTATAATTAATATAACGTCAAAATTACATATACTTAGTTTGAAATTTATTTAAAAAATATGAGTGTCCTGTTGTGATGCTACTCTACAAAAATGGTGTAATTTTATGAGCAAAACCATGAAATAAATTGTTTGTTAAATTTAATTGTCTTAAATGAAGTTATTCCGGTGTTTTGATCAATTTTCTGCCTAACTATCATAATTAAATAATTTTTACAAAAACTTATGAATTTTTGATCTCGTTTAATTTGGTTTACATTAAAATAGAAATGTTATAATTAATATAACGACAAAATTACATATACTTAGTTTGAAATAAACAAAAAAATATGAGTGTCCTGTTGTGACGCTACTCTACAAAAATGGTGTAATTTTATGAGCAAAATCATAAAATAAATTGTTAGTTAAATTCATTCTATTAATAAACGGTATGGATTCCGGTGTTTTGATAAATTTTCGTCCTAACCATACTAATTAAATAATTTTTATAAAAACTTAGGAATTTTTCATCTTGGTTAATTTGGTTTACATTAATATAGGAATGATATAATTAATATAACGACAAAATTACATATACTTAGTTTGAAATAAGCTACAAAAAATAGGAGTGAAAGTAAATGTAATTAAATGAAAGAAAATGGTGTAATTTTATGAGCAAAACCATGAAATAAATTGTTAGTTAAATACATTATATGAAAAAATGGTTTCCAGGTATTTTGATCAATTTTTTACCAAGCCAGTAATTTTTTTAAAATAAAAACTAATGAATTTTTGATCTCGGTTAATTTGGTTTATATTAAAATAAGTATTTTGTAATTAATATAACTGCAATAATACATGTAGTTTGAAATAAAAATATAAGTGTTCGGTTTTTGTCTTCGACTGTACTCGATGCTAGTCGACGAAAATCTGGACAGTGGGGATTGCGTAGCGTAGAGTAGGGTAGCGTTGCATAGCATCGGGCAGATGTGCACTGGGGTAATACAACCTTACGGAAAAATGGACTTTGGATTTGTGTCAGTTAGCATCGTCGCATGGCGTTGCATATCATCAAATATGCTAGAGGTAAGCCGTAACAACGGAAATACTGTATGTAATACTACATGAATTTTTGTATCAAATATTTAAAGGATTAGGACAATTGAAAATACTTTTTAATTAAATATTTAGAAGGTTTAGTAGGATATGATTTCAACCAACCTAAGGCTAGAAATTAACAACAAAAATTAATTAATTATAAGATGCTGTTTGCCATCCTGGAGAAACGGTAGCCTTTTTGGAATGGCTGATGAAGGTTGAAGTGCTGCGATTGCTCTTATGAAACCTTTGCATTTCATATGCTCAATTGGGATAAGGTATAGCGAGCATTGCGCAGAAGTAAAGCATGTCAGAAGTCTGATTTCCGTCAATGATACTGTTGAAACCGTAGGCCGTAACATCCGCCCATACCATTCCATCACCTCCGAATTTTGATGAACTGAATTTCTTTTATGCTACGGCCGTCTTATGGAAAGAGATGTAGTCCTTATTGTCTGAACTGA